TAACTTTACAACCACATCGACAGGATGACCAAGTGGTATAATCCAACTAAGGCAGCATTCATAACTTTTCTTAGTCCTAGCAAGCCCTCTTCTTATCATTGTATCTCCTTTTAGACTAAGGAGGCAACAACAGATCTCCAAGATATTTTGGATTAGGATGGATTCTTGTATGGTGATTTTTGTCCCGAGAGTAAAAATTTTAGGTAAGGAAGAACATATGTTTGAATAAGCTATTTTTGATAAATAAGGTTGATAACTTCCTGAAGCTATAAAGGCCCACCCAGATTAACAAAAGCTGACTTAGAGATGTATGTCTAACCACTTATGTCTTTACTGTGTTCAAAATCAGGCTTCTGGATAATCTTAGATAAGGAGCAACATAGTTTTGATTAATGAGGTATGTTTGATAAATAATAACTATAAATTCCTCAGGTTATAAAGATCTATTCAGATTAACAAAAGCTAACTTAGAGATGTATGTGTAACCACCTACATTTTGCTAACCATGTCCAACACCAGACTTCTAGAAAATCTTAAATAAGGAACAACGTATGTTTGATAAATAAGGTATGTTTGATAGAAATTGCTAAGGTCTACTTAGGGTAACAATAATTGACTTGAAGATGTATGTCTAGCTTTTTTGTCTTTGCAAACTTTGGTAAGTTTTAGCTATTTGGATAAACTGAGTCATACAAGAAACTGTGATATTCTATAAAGTTTTGCTGTGAATGGACTGAGAAAGTAAAATTTCTAGTATCTCTGTGGGATGTATCATGGCTTAAAGCTTTGTTTTGATGTTAAAGGATCCTCAATCAAATCTGCAATTTATAAGGCTCAAACTTTTTTTGTTTATTTTTCAAGACAGGGTTTCTCTGTAGCTTTGGAGGTTGTCCTGGAATTTGCTCTGTAGATCAGGCTGGCCTTGAACTCACAGAGATCCACCTGCCTCTGCCTTTCAAGTGGCTGGGATTAAAGGTGTGTGCCACCAACACCCGGCCTTGGGGGTCATTCTTATTGAAACTACTATAGTCAATTTACTGAACCTACTGTATAAATGAGAACATGGCCTCTCCAAGGTATGCTTGAGAGGGAGGTTTTTATTGGAGATATGAAGGAGAGTACAGCTAGAGACATCAGGAAGAGTCTAGAGTAGAGAGAGGAAGTAGTATGCTAAATATGGCGTGGTGATTTGAATAGGTATGGGCCCCATAGACTCTTAAGTTTGAATACTTGGCACATAGACTCCCCTCAGACAGCAAATAGTGTGACATAGGCAAAGGAGAACTCAAGAAACTAAAGACCATCTGTGTAGCAAAAGGCAGTGAGTTGAAGAGACAGTCTATAGAAAGGGAGAGAATCCTTTGTCAGCTTCTACATTTGATAGGGATAAGTTTTATGCCAGGTATTTGAAATATACAACCATGGAGAAGAATGTTCTGAGACTTTACTTTTAATGCCAGGCAGGTGTCTTCACAGTAGCCAGGATCCGGAGCCACAAGGATCACCAGCATATGGCTATAGGTTCGTTCACTCTTCACACCCTCTGACTCACACACCTCCCAGCCCTGCCCACACCCTTCAGCATTTTGTAGGGGTGGAACAACTTGCCCTTTCTGCACAGGCTGTTGGGGTCTTGATGTGGCCTATGAAATCCATGTAGACCACCTGTTCTGGGTAATTTCAGTTTCAAGAGACAAGTTTAGCCAGGAATTTCATGTTTGATAAGGACACTGTTACACGTATCTATCCCAACTGACCTTGGCCTGTTTTCTTTATGTCTCTATTTCCGTATTTTCATTTATCTCTCCTTTGTGTTCTCTTGTGCTGGGCAACTGTCTTAAATACTTCACACATCATTTTCCACCTCCAATTCTCCTTCTCACCTCTGGCTTTTCTTCTTAATTTCTAATCCTAACTGAAGCCACAACTAGTCACTGCAAGGTGAGAGCCTGAACATACAGGAGAGGTCTAAAGGTCTCCTGGGGACAGAAGCTGGCTCTGATATCTTTCTCTACCAACCCAAGGCTGATCATTGATGCAATACTCATATATATAGAAGTGCCAGGGCTTGTAATGGAGACAGCACCGCCGACAGCCATGGCCAGCACAGCCAGCTCCAGTGCCAGCGCTGCCAGCTCCAGTGCCAGCACTGCCAGCTCAGAACTGTCTGCACTGTCAGAGAACATCAATAATGCTGCTGACATCTCTGTCATTGTCATCTACTTTGTGGTGGTGATAGCTGTTGGAGTGTGGGTATGTGGAAGCCCAGGGAGATTGCAGGGAGGGCAGAGAAATTGCAGGGGCAAAGATCTCTAACTGGGAGTGTGTGTGGGCCAGTGGGACTGCTGGGTGGGCAGAGCAGACATGTGGAGTGAGGAGTTGAGACAATGATTTTCCAAGTATCATTGCGTTTTGGTCTGAATAATCTGCTTGCGTGTGACATGAATAATGTTTGCACCAAATGAATTCGTTTTCCAGAAAGCCCATTATTTCAACAGGACCAGGGCTGGGTGCTTGCTGTGCTGGCCATGTCCAGCACCAGACATCAAAAACACAAATGCCATTTCTCTTGTCTCGTTTTAACCTCTTCCCTTTGATGTTTATTTACTTCCTCACTTACTGAGTGAGAAGTTTAGATAACTTGTTCATTCTTTGTTTTCAATGTTGGGTTTGAGGCTCAATATCTTCCAAAGACAGCATAGAGACAAGTAACACGTTTTCATAAGTTGAAATAGGTATCAGGTTTTCAAATATAATTTCTCAAAGTTCTCCATCTGAGTCTTTATAAAACTATGACTTTTATGTCCATTAAAGACTAATGCTGTTTTATTCTATCTAGAAAAGCAGGTCTCTCTGTGGGTGTTGAAATACCAATGTCAGCATGCTGTGTGGAGCAGCTGCAGGTTCTCCTTGATCTTGGGGGTGAAACTATAGTTTCTAACCTTCCAATGATTTCCTTTCTGCTCAGGCAATGCTGAAGACAAACCGAAGCACTGTTGGAGGCTTCTTCCTGGCAGGTCGAGCTATGACCTGGTGGCCAGTAAGTGGGTCAGAGATGTCTGGAGATATACAAGATTGATTGACAGGTTGTGGTGGCGGCAGGGGTACCTACCACCTTGCTTTTTTGTTTGTTTGTTTTCTTTAGAAAATCCTCCACTTTAAGACCTGGGATTCAAAAAAAATTACAATCAACCGAGAGCAGCTTTAGTCTAGCCTTAGCAGACCTACCACTTCAGCTATTTCCTGTGCCAAGGAGAGCCTTGGTTCTCATGGAAAACCTTCTTAACTTCTATTATCTGTCTGAATTCCTTTTCTGCTCCCAGTCCTGAGCTAGTCCTGCTCCTCTCTGAGAGATCATCTTCTCCTTTGTCACCCCCTGCAGTGTCAGCTCTCTCCCTGATCACTCCAGTCCTGCCTTGAACATCGTGTTCTTCAGTTCTGCACACTTACTGACTGCAGGCCATGTTGACTGTGGTGATGTTTACAGTTATTCCCTTGGACAGTTGCCCAGCAGATGTTTTTTTCTGAGTTTTGATATCTGGCTCCCTCAGCCAGATTTTTCATTGCAGTAGAGGCCACATATTTCTCTGTGAATCCAGAGAGTGTCGGGGTTGGGTTAGGCATACAGTGAGTGCTTCGAAAATGTTCCCTTCAACAGATCTTTTACCTTGTCTCAATACCATAAAAGGAAATGGAATTAAGAAAGAACATGGTGGGGATGGTAGTGTAGGCAGGGTTTTCTGTCCTACAGAAACATCCTGCTCCCAAATAACCACACAGAGACTTATTGTTAATTATAAATGCTTGGTCGATAGCTTAGGCTTGTTACTAACTAGCTCTTACAATTTGAATTTACCCATATATATATATATATATATATATATATATATATATGTATATATATATACTGTTTTTTTCTCAAGGCATGTTCATTTCCTACTCACTCTGCATCTGGCTGGTGAACGTACCTTCTCTTTCAGTCTTCCCACCTGTCTCTTAGTTTGGCTCTTTCACCCGACCTCTTCCTGCTTAGCTATTGGCCACTCAGCTTTTAATTAAACCAATGAGAGTAATACTGATTCACAGTGTGCAAAAAGGATTACTTCACAGTAGGAATAGTTTTATTCAGAGCACACAATCAACCAGGCATTGCCTTCCTGCTACTCTTTTTTGTGAAACGCGAGATTCTCAACTAATCCTAGAGTCACCAACCAGCTCCACCCTCCCATTCACCCCATCATCAAACACCTAAAAAAAAAGAGAGGTTGGAAAGAGGGGTAATACACAGAGGCAAAGACAGCCCTGCAGGACCTCACATTCTGATTCTGTTCTCAGGATGAAAGCTAGTCTCGGCTCATTGAAGAGCTTGCTCTGCTTTGAACTCCAAAGACAGGTGCTATGGCTGGGAAGATAGAGAGAATTCCCTCTGATGCAACTTTGGAGTCTGCTACTGACTCAAGAGTCAAGTTGCTAGTAGGAGATCTGGAAGTTTGAGGCTCCACTCAGAACACATAGCGAGATACACTGTTGTTCCCTTGAGGCAGGGTTTGTCAGTTTGTTTTTTTTTTTTTTTTTTTTTAAATGTAGGCCTAATTGTAAGTATCTTGTACTTTAAAGGTCAGAGCCTACTATGGCCACACAACAATGTCACTGCCACACAAAGCACCTGTAACCAGTATGCTGTGACTATGAAACCAATGGGGGTGCTCCAGCACCTGTATGGTGGACACTGAATTTTAAATTTCACCTAACTGCAGATTTGCACATCTCACTCTTCAGATGTTTAAAAACCACTTGTAACTACTATTCACAGTGGGGAAAGTGTTCTTGGCTCATGGGCCAGAGAATAACTGGTAACAGATTAGTTTTTGTCCATGCATGATCACTTGCTGCTTTTGCTTCAAGAAGAAGCAACTGAAACATCTCAACACCTACCTGTTTCCATAGAGTCTTATTTGAGTCTTCTGAATCTAACCTTAGTCTGATTGCTTGCCTTGCAGATGGGTGCCTCTCTGTTTGCAAGCAACATTGGCAGTGGCCACTTTGTGGGCCTGGCTGGGACAGGTGCAGCTTCAGGAATTGCTGTTACAGCATTTGAATCACATGTAAGTGACAGCATTTTTTTTTTAATTTTAAATCAAGTTCATGTCTGGGTATTTTCATCTGGGTATATAGCACCAGTTTTCCTGGGAGTCTGTATCAGATGTACTCCTTCTGGTTTTTATTTTCCCCTCAAATAGTCCACTCTTTGTCCTTTAACACTTCTGTGGCCTCCTTCTTTTCATAAGTAGTTATTCCCACTAGGGATTTCATTTTTGTGCAATTCAAGTCTCACTTTAACTTGGTCCCCATAACTATTTGAGCTCTTATATCTCTTTTCTGAGATGTCACAGTGTATGTTCATTCCTGAACCAGAAGAAAAGATTAAAAGTAAAAGAAAACATGCTGGGTTAATACACTTGCCACACAAGCAAGAAGACCAATGTTCAGATCCCTAGAACTTACTAGATACTGAGGAGACATGGCAGCCCACCTGTGATTCCAGTGGTAGAGAAAAGGGATTTGGCAAACTGGCTAATGAGACTAGCCATATCTGTTAGCTTTTGGTATGATTAAGAGCCCCTGCCTCAAAGAGTAAGGTGTAAGAGCAATTTAAGAAGATTCCCAACATTAGCCTTGGGCCTCTGCACATATGTGTGCGCAGCATAGACACACTGAAAGGGATATAAGTAGGCCAGGCTTTTGGGACTTTAGTCCCAGCATTGGATGCCAGAGGCAGAGGCAGAAGCAGAAAGAGGGGCAGGGGCAGGGGCAGGGGCAGGGGCAGGGGCAGGGGCAGGCTGATTTCTGTGAGTTTGATGTCAATCTAGTCTACCCAGTGAATTACAAACAAGGGAGACCAAATAGTTAGACCCCATCTCAAAATAAGGAAAGAAAGAGAGAAAGAGAGAGATAATTAGCAGGAAGAGCAATGTCTCCGTCTTGACACAGCCTATGATCAATTGGGACAGACAAGTGTGCACTAACTGTGGTGTGGAAAGCACAGAGACAGTAGTATTTGCCATAGTGAGAGATCACACTGTGTAAATGTTTCCCTGTGCCTTTTTTCCTGCTAGGTTATACAGTCCCAAAGGGTCAGTATTAAACACAAGTACATTCCAGCAATGCTAAATGGACTGAGAAGATTATACACACACACACACACACACACACACACACACACACACACAAATAAATAAGAGCATAGGTCATGAGAGGGAGTGAGGGGCTCAGGAAAAGTTAAGTTGGACAGAGAAGAGAGTGGAATAGAATTGATTGGACTACAGTATGCATAGGCAATTCTTGAAAATCATTTTGAAAGAGAGATCACACAGGAGGTGTGTCCATCATAGACTACAGGGGTTGTTGGCACATACCATGAGGGTTTATGGATGCTTGTGCCGGAAGGATGAGTAGAAACCCAAGTGAGGCCTGAGGAGGCAGTGGCGCTACTTAAGGAATGAATGTTTTGAAAGATGGCATACCAAACCTACAGGACTTCATGACTGATCTGTCACCAGTCTACAGAAGCTGCATCCCTCAACTAGACCCTGAGTTCTTAAGAAGAGAGAACACGGACGGCTTCCCCCACCCATATCACTCTAGCACACAGCCGGGCACTTGGTGAGAGAGTCACACACACAGTTCAGGAGGAGCCTGTGTTTTCTCTCTTCTCCACAGTACACGCCAGAGCGCGAATCTCAGGAATCTGTTCTTGTTTTCCCTGTGGGCTCTGAGGATTAAACTCTGGATGTGACGAATATGCAGCTGGTGCTTCTGCCAACTAAGCTGTCCCACAGGCCCCATTTTATCTTTATCCTTTCTAATGTTTTTGTATATGTGAATATTGGGAGGATAGACAAAGTTAGACTATGGTGCCATTTTAAACAAACCACCCTAGATGGACTCTGGAAGTGACTTTGGGTCACTCACAAATGTTTTTGCCTTTCCGTTGCTGAAGGCTGTTTTGTTTTGCTTTTACCTATTTTTACCTCAGGAGCATACTCGGATTTTGGTGCAATATGCCTTGTGTCCTAGGATTTGATCTGATAGTGTCATGAACCGTACACCGAAGGCAAGAAGAAAAAGGCCTTTAATCCAATATTTATGGGTATCACATTGAGGACATCGGTGCCTTTGTAGCTTTTGACCTTGAATTTCTTTAATCTCGATGAAGCTCACATCTTTTCTGTATGACTCTTCATAATTCTGCTTATTAGACCTGCTTCACTAGGTGTGGTAAGAACAGTGATGCTACTCGTAGAGACGTCATAAAATCTGTACTTTAATACCAGACAATATTAATAGCTGTATTTGGCAAAGGCACCTCACCTGAGGATGGTCTTCCTTTTCCAAAGTTTTTTTTCCCTCAGTGCTTTGACATTCGTGTATAATTCTCCCATCTTAGTTCATTACTTTGGCAAAGGCTGCACAATTTTTCTTAGTCCAGATGAACTCAAAACTCTATCTTTTGCTTGTTTTTGCCAAATATTAGGTATTCTAGACATGTTATCTTAGACAGGAGCTAAGAAAAGTGAGGGGGTTTGTTTGTCTTGAGATTCAGAGGTCATAACATAAAGTCACAAGACAAACTCCTCTAACTCAATGCTGCTCTTGGTTTGTTTCAGTCATTTCTCTTTTTGCTGATTCTGGGGTGGTTTTTTGTCCCCATCTACATCAAAGCAGGGGTGAGTATCTGATTATCAGTTTACCTACTCGTTTTCCATGTTAAATCATGAAATCTGGGTACTTGGCTCTCATTGGTCCTGTTGCTAACAACATACAGAAGAAAAGATAACAAATTGCTCACCCATAGGGTCCCCCAGCGTAGAATGTGTGTGTTACCAGTTTAATCATGGCCTTGCCTAAGGATCACCATGGTAGACATAAGCCCGAGTCGGAAGCAAAGCTGGAGTCACTGGCATGTCTTAAGAGAAGTGCTTCAGTGGTGAAGCTTCAGTCTTGGGGGATAAGGCTGACTTCTTCAGCCTTAAAAAAACTGGATGATTGGAATCAATATCCGGAAGGTGAAAATCTTTCTTGGAGTATTTGGAGGTCAGTTAAAATTAAGGTTAAGTAGAGAGTTACATGGGAGAAGACTGGTAAGAAGCAGAGGTGTCAGTGGCACAGTGGGGTGGGTTCCCTTGTGGAAGTCCATGTGCATCCTTACTGGGGAAGGGCAATGAGAGCATGGCAAGAGGGGGCGGAGCAAGAGAAAGTAATAGAGGGGATACAGTCAAAGTATGCTGTATGCACGTGAAAACATCACAGCGAGACCCATTGCTTCATATAGTTAAAATGTGCTAATAAATATACAATAGCATAGGGCTGGAGAGATGGCCCAACATAGGGCTGGAGAGATGACCCCATGGCTAAGAGCAGTGGCTGCTCTTGCAGAGGGCCCTGATTCAATTCCCAGCACCTAGGGGCTCATATCTATCTGTAACTCCAGTCTCAATGTCTCCAACACTGTTTTCTGACCTCCTCAGGCACTGCACACAAATAGTACATGTATGTAGGCAAACACTCCTACACGTAAAATAAAAATTACAATGAAAAAGTTAATATATTCTTAGTATAATGGCTAAAATTTTAAAGTGATGATACCATTTAAAAATGTGTTCTAGAACAGGAGAGATGTCTTAATAGGTAAAGGAACTCACTGCCATGCCTGATCGCCTGAGTTCAGTCCTAAGGATCCATGTGGCAGAAGCAGGAAAGCTCCACACGCACACCTTGAGATATATATATTGAGATTCATATATACGAACATATATATGAAATGGGAAGTTCAGGGCTTTCAAGGATTCAAGGGTCGTGATCAGGTTCCTACTTCATGAAGTTTCACTTGTGTATCTGAATGGACAATAGACAAAAAGTTCATGCAATCTGAGGCTGGGACAATAGCTCAGCCATGAAGTGCTTGCCCTGCAAACATGAGGACATGAGTTGGATCCACAGCACCTATGTAAAAGTGTTGGGTATGACAGCACACGCTTGTACCCATCACTGAGAAGCAGACGTGGGCTGGTCCATAGGGCTTCTTAGACAGGCGGCCTAGTCTAATCACCAAGTTCCTGGCCAGGCAGAGGCCCTGTCTCAAACAGACAAGGTGGATGGTACCTTAGGGACAGCACCCATGGATGTGCTCCAGCCTACACACACACACACACACACACACACACACACACACACACTCTCACATACATACATTCAAAATCTTGGCTATGAATGGCAGGGCATGCCTGTAATATCAGAATCTAGGAGGCCAGGGCACAAAGATCAGGATTGCAACATTATGTTTGGCTATGCATCAAGTTTGAGATAGTGTCTCAAGAATTAGAAATTAAAAGTTCATACTATCCAATGTGAGGCTCAAGGAAGGAAACAGGGAGGAAGGGAAGCCACTTCTTGGTTACTTGGGACATGTATGTTAGCAGATTAGGGGTAAAGGCAGTATGAGCTTTGTAGTTCTAGGGTCAGGATGCTCAAATCCTCCATAAATGGAGCAAGAACTACAGAGGGGGGCCAGAGATGGAGAATAAGACTATAATGAATTAACAGTGTAACTGTGTCATGTGTGTGAGTCTGTGTGTCTGTATCTGTGTGCATGAGTGTGTGTCTGTATGTGTTTGTGTGTCTATATGTGCATGTAATTGTGTATGTGAGTGTGTGTGAGTGTGTGTGTGTGTGTGTGTGTGTGTGTGTGTGTTGGTGTCTATAGAACAGACATGCAGATATGTGCAGGTTGATCAGGAGGGAGACCTGGGTGAGACTCTCTGTGGGCATCCGGCTCTTTGGAAACAGCCTTGTATAGCTTTGAGGATGCCTCAGTGAACAAACACCAGGATTCAGATGGCCTTTCTTCAGCATGGTTGTGTGAAAACCCACCCTGGGTGAGGAGCCCCTCCTTCGCACTTCTGCAGATAGTGGAAATTTATTCGTTCCTGATCTCTCCATGGAAACATGTTATCCTTGGTTCAAGAGTGAATGCCCCAGAAGATGCCTGTGTGTTCTTGGCTGTAGCTTGATATATCTTCAGGGCTGCTCTTCATTGGTGATATACTAAGAATCCCTCATATTGTTTTTGGCAAAAAGGGATGTGTATATGTGTGTGTGTGTGTGTGTTTATTAACTTTTTTATCAGGAGAGATTAAATAATGAGCCTAATTACTCTGAAAAATACAGAAAGTTGCATTGTTTATTCTAGAAGTCCCATGAGCAATCTCTAACTTCAGTAAAGAAAGTCCAGACTTAATATAAATCTTATTTTCAATAAAGGGGATCATATAAATACATGCTAAATTGCATACTTGCATTAGTCTCAATAATCAATTTGTTTTATAATCATATTACAATTTATTATTTACTAAATATTATTTCTGCTGTACTGTAGCATTACTAGTAAAAATAAAAATGATTTGTTGAGTATCATCTGTGTGTATTTGGTGATGTTGTAAGTACTTTACACTTTTGCATTAAATCCCTACTTCAAGAAAAGGGAAATTCAGAGACTGTCTTTGCCAAAAGTGTTAACACCAGAGTCCAGCAGAGATGGCCATCCTGCCTCCACTGCTTGAGTTTATTCCAGCATTGTCACTCTATTGGGGGCACTGTGCCTTTCTCACCTCTGTGTCCCCAAGATGTCATGCTTAGTGCTTAGCTGTCTGAAGCCATTTAGCAAATGTAAAACCATCTGAATGCACAAGGCTGGTGGTAAATTCCTGTTGACATCTCCTCTGCAGGTGGTGACCACGCCAGAGTACCTCAGGAAGCGGTTTGGTGGGCAGCGCCTCCAGATCTACCTCTCAGTTCTCTCCCTCTTCATCTGTGTGGCTTTGACAATCTCGGTGAGTTCCCTGCCTCCTGGCATTGGAGATTCCACAGTTTCCCTGTTGGGGGCAGCTGCTGAAATCATAGACTGTGGATAGCACTAGCAGGGTTGAAACTTCCAGATGTCTCCAACTTCCTGGGGTTTCTCTCATAAGTCTGCCTGGGTGGGAAAACTCTCAGAATATCCACACCCTAGAGCATCAAACTTTCACATAAGGAGAACCACAAGAGTGTAACTCCAACCTCTGAGAGCATTTCCTGTGTGAAAATGCAGGTGTGGCCACAGCAAATGTCAGTCATGACAGTAGTAATGTCTGCTTCCTATGGGTGCCTCTTGGCTTCTGCCCTGCCCTCTGCACAGCAACTTCTTCATATTTTCTCTGAGCCAGCTCTGACTTATATTTTTCTTTTCAGCTTAATTACCAAATAAGAAGGGAAGTACTTTGTATCATTAAACTGACTTAAGTTTGCTTTATCAAAGACTGCCCTTGTAAAACCTGTATCATAAACGAGTGGAAATCATGTCTGATGAAAGACAAGAGGCATTTGAACTTTGAGCAGCACTTGAAGAGAGAAAGAGTAGTCTATTTATCCGTATGTATCAATGCCTACTAAAACATCTGAGTTCATAGCTGGGGCACATGTCAGTGTTTAGGATAGAAAGTTGCCTCAGCTCTTCTGTTGGGCTGGGTTACTGTTACAAGTGAACCAGCTGCTGGGCCCAGATCCTATGGACTTTCCTAATGCCATGGGAGCATGATTGAGCTGTGCTTCATGTTAACAAAGATTCCCAAGCAACAGGAGTTATCACGCATCAAGGAGAAGGGAATTTTCACATTAATACTCGGCTAGTTATGAACATGCAAGCAGAAGTGTACCCTGTACAACCAGGAATGGTGCTAGTACCTGACAGGTGGACTTAGAAATGGCTTTTTGATTCAGCATTCCCCAAGGTGGGAAGGTTAGAAGAAGCATAAGACTTTCTTGGTACCAGAGACTTTGTGTTCACGTGTTCTACAAATAGATAAGTCTTGTTAATCTCTGAGGTCCTTTCAGACTTCTACAGCTTTATGGTTCCAAAGATCATGAGTGTGTCCCGAAACTGAAGGGCATCAGTTACAGGATCCCTTGAGGGGTTTGTCCTTTCGGGGTGCATGGCTCTGGGTGGCAAATAAGGAACTGGATAGAGATAAGCTGGGTTGTGTGCAAGGAATCCACGCACACGTGAGTGTTTTCCATGTGTGTCTGTAATCAGCTGATGACACAGCCTCAGTCCTTTTATGCCTAGAAGGTTAAGTCATGAGTGATATTAATGATGATGATTAACCTTAGAAATGTTTGTTTATACACGAATTCACATGGTAGCCAATTCCATCCTGGCTACTTATTAAACAAATCATTACAAGAACTTAAGATGGAAGAGTTTTCAGAATCTCCCCTGCCAGGACCGAGAAACGATTGATCCTGAGTTACAACCTCCAGAGACTTGAACATTGAGACTCATTAGTGATGTCCTGTAATCCCCAAATATTTTAGGTCAGACTTCTAAGAAGTACTGCTGTGATTCTGGAAAACAACAAAACTGGAAATTAACCACTACTTTATTGAGATATTAGCAACTGTTTCAAAATGGCCTCTTTTAGCAAACGAAAATCCCATGTCATTAAAATTCCTCTTTATTAGAAACACTCCTTTTTCTCAAAACTTTTCATTACTTTATTTTTAACTAGTTAGTTAACTTGCCTACCCATAAATTTATTATTTCTAAAGAAAATAGGTTTTTTTCACACAATGTATTTTCATTACGGTTTCTGCTCCACCAGCTCTTCCCTGATGCTCCCAATTAACAACACAGACCCTTCATTTTCTCTCTCATTGGAATAAAACAGGCATCTAAAATAACAATGAGAAGAAAATAAGAAAAATAAAATAAAACCAAACAAGTCAGAATAGGATAAAGCAGAAAACAGAGCCAAAGAAAATACACGAGAAACACATAAAGAAACTGAGGCCCGCACATTTGCACACACAGAAAAGCCACTAAAACACAATTGGGAACCATAATATATCAGGAAACTACCTGTAAGGAAAAAGTTAAAGAAATAATGCTCAGATGTAACACTGTAAGACAGAATAGAAAAGAAAAACTCTCCAAAAGTACCATTGGGTTTGTATTATTTTGGCCATGTACCACTGGCCCAAGTCCTCATAAGTGAATGCCTGCTGGTTTTGGGTGCTATATATAATTCCAAGGCCTCAGTTAAGGTTTTGTTTCTCTTTGCTTCCTCTCTGACCTTATGCCATATAGATCTTATAGCTGAGGTTGATTCCTCCCACCCTTCTATTAAGGATCCCGTGGACATACCCAACACTGTATTTTGTCTGGAACATGCTTGCTTTCTTTAAATAAAGATTCGTAGAGGTTCACAACTCGTCCCGCCAACCCTACCATCTTACAGAAGGATTTCTCTATATTTCCATGTATTCCAGATCTGTATTTTTAGGTAAAGTCCCATCATAGCTGTAAAGCAAAGTGTCTAATGATATGACCTTCAGACACACTGAACAAATGAGCTAAAAATTACCACGTGGTGACTGTTTGATGTCAAACCAACCCCCTAAGCCTCCTCCTTTCCCAAAATTTGGCATGATTGTAGGAACAATACCTAAACAATCTTTTACATTGCTAAAGGATTTCCAGAATGAAGGAAAAATATTAGTTCATTTATCTCTTGAAGTAGACCAGTCCCATATAAAATTATAAGTGTGTGTGTGTGTGTGTGTGTGTGTGTGTAAAAGTTCTAATTAGTAAACAAGAATACTAATACTAATTTTAATCCTGAGCATGGTGGCATACACTTTTGATCCCATCACTTGGGAGGAGAGGCAGGTGGAGCTCTGAGTTGGAGATCAGCCAGGGCTACATAGTGAGAGCCACTGCCCCCAAAGGGCAGAATTCTAACATATATAAATAAATATGAGAGAGAGGAGGGAAACTGGGAAATAGCTCCATGAGTAACAGTGCTTCCTGTGCCAGCATAAGGACCCAAGTCTCAATACCTAGCACCCAAGCAACAATCCAGACATGGTCATGTGTCTAGGCAGACTTTCTCTGTCCCAGCAGTCAGTTCTGTCCTGCCAGCCTGCTCCCCCCCACACACACACACAAAAAAAAATCACACAGAGACTTATTATTAGTTATAAGTGCTTGGCCAATAGCTTAGCCTTGATACTAACTAGCTCTTATATCTTAAATTAACCCATATTTCTTATCCATGTTCCATCACATGGTGGTACCTTTGTTCAGCACGGCAAGTTCACCTCCTGCTTCCCCTGCATTTCCTTCCAACTCCTGTGACCCTGCCCTCTTCTTCCCAGCAGCCTTTCAGTTTGGCTTTCCTGCCTAACTGCTTCCTGCTGAGTTATTGTCTAGTTAGCCCTTTATTAAACCAGTGAGAACATCAAATATTCACAGTGTACAAAATGATCGTTCCACAGTACATGTACTTGACTGCAACCGAAGAGCTTGGGGGACAAGGCAGGAGAAAACAGGTATCAGTGGGCTTGTGTGCCACCTGCCTATCTGTAGTTCTCTGAAAGATCCTTTCTCAAGGAAATAAGGTGGAGAATGATAGAGCAGATCATCTGATATTCCCTCTGCCCTACACACACACACACACACACACACACACACACACACACACACTACACTATATTTTTTAAAAAGACTAGATATTTTACTCCATCACAGTCACAGATTCCCATAGGTAGCTAATGAGCGTCCCTAATCCTCATGATACATCAAATTCTCAGGCCGTGGCACCTTATTTAATAAGGGCCTCAATAGAACAATGAACTAATTGCTTTGAAGATAAGTGATGAGTGAAACTGCTGTTTGAATATTGATGGAGGATATCTTTATATGTTCTTCTCTTACTGGTTGATGAATAAAACACTGTTTGGCTAATAGCCAGTAGAGGCAGGAAAATAGGTGGGGCTGGGAGACAAGGAGAATTCTGGGAAAGGTAGGCAGGGAGGGACACTATGAGGAGATCAAGAGGAGAGGATGCATCAGGCATTCTCCAGTAAGCCAAGACCATGTGGAAATACATAGATGAATAGAAATGGGTTAATAATTAAGACAGAGCTACCCAATAAGAAGCCCTAGTCATTGGCCAACAGTTTTATAATTAATATACTGTCCCAGTGTTTATTTGGGGCAGAAGGGCGGCGGGACCTGGTGGGACAAGAGAAAACTTTGCAACAGAATATCTTCCTGTGGAATATTTATGTAGTGTCTTCAGGGGTCAATAGGAGTTCACCAGGAACAGGGTGGGACATGGAGCCTTGAAAAAAAGAAGCCAGAGTCCTGAAATGCATGCCTCTCCCGTCTTCACTGTTCCCTTTCTAGTCAAACATATTTTCTGGAGCCATATTCATAAAGCTGGCCTTTGGGTTGGACCTTTACCTGTCGATCTTCGTCCTTTTGGCTATCACTGCTGTTTTCACAATCACCGGTGAGTCTTCTGTGTCCTTGGTTGAGTTGTGCCACCTCCTGCCGATCCCACCTACGTGTGTGCATTTGTGTTTGTGCCTGTATCAAACTGCAGAAAACATGGCCACTGAATAAGATATTCAATTAAAGAAACAGTAATATATTCCCACACTAGAGAAGAAAATGGTTTTACTAGATGGCTTGGCACAGAGACACCAGTGCAATAGGAGAATTCAGAGGATTATTTAGGAAAACTAAAGTGATATTAAACTTTTGTCCAGGGCTGGAGAGGTGGCTCAGAGGGGCTGGAGAGATGGCTCAGAGGTTAAGAGCAATGGCTGCTCTTCCAGAGGTCCTGAGTTCAACTCCCAGCAACCACATGATGGCTCACAACCATCCGTTATGAGATCTGGTGCCCCCTTCTGGTGTGCTGATATACGTGGAAGCAGAATATTGTATACATAATAAATAAATAAAATCTTAAAACAAATTCATAAAAAAACTTTTGTCCTCTCTCCTACTTAATGTTTGTAAATAAACATAACAGTGAAACTATACTGCAAGAGAAGCTTTGAATCAGACAGGTACAAGACAGGGGCTGTGCCTGGTGTCATGCCCTATTGTTCCAGATTTAATGAAGCTGAGACAGGAGGACTGAGAGTTCAAGGACAACCTGGGCTACAGAGCAAGGCCCTGACAAGAAAGAGACAAAGGTAGCGGGATAAGGGAAGAGGAGTTGAGGAGAAGGGAGAAAAGGGAGCAGAGGGGCAAAGGAAAGAAAAACAGAAGAAAGAATAAAGCTAGGGGAAGAGGAGAACTAACGAAGGACATACTACAGAGATAATGCTGTGAGGACAGGCTTATTTAGGTATGGTGGGTCACACTTGTAATCCCAGGAACTGGAAACTGAGGCAGATGGATTGCCAGGAGTTCAAGACCACCATGGCAAACCTATGGATTCAAGGCCAACTTTGGCTACAGAATAAGAGCCTGTCTCAAACAAAGCCAAACTAAGCATCAAGCTTGTGATTCAGCCAGGAGCTTTTTCATTTTCTTGCTTTGTTTCTTGGTTACAAAGTCTAAGCTGCCCTGTCTGTCTTTAGACTGACTCTGGACCTCAGAGGACCTTGAGGCTTGCAACCTTTTTGTCACAACCTAGCAGGCAGCTGGACTAATGGGTTCACTCGTGGCAGCCAGGGACTTTGACTGGTTCTTCCTGCCATTTTTAATGTTTCTTTATACATTTGGGCTGGAGGAGAAGCCAGTTCTGAGGGCAAATACATAAGTGCATGGAATCAAACTCTGCTTACTTTCTTGGTCTCCACAGGGGGCTTGGCATCTGTGATTTACACAGATACCCTCCAGGCCGTTATCATGCTGGCTGGATCTTTCATCCTCATGGTGTTTGGTAAGATGGGATTACATCTACAGATCCCTAGGTTCTTGTTTCTGTCTGTCTGTTCATTATCACTTCCTCTAAATTCTCCTGGGTCATGTTTTCCTGTCATTTATGTAATTTCCACCATGGAAATATTTGCCTAGCTTCTTCCTTGTTTTATTTTGTCAAGAAGAAATGGATGAGTTTATTTTGTTTTTAAAAATTGCTTTTGGTTAATTATGCTATTTAACCTCCATTTCTTTGTGATCAGAATGGATGAACCCCCTTGGTTGATCACTTTAGAGGAATATTGGTGCATTGGATTGGAAGTGCCTTTAACCCCAGCACTGTACTCTGGAGGCAGAGGCAGAGGCAGACAGACCTTTGTGTTGAGGCCAACCTGGTCTACAGAGTGAGTTCCAGAACAGCCAGGACTACACAGAGAAACCACATCTCAAAAATTAAATTAAAAATCAATTTCAAAAAGCAAAACCTTACTAAAATAAAAAGCTTTTGATTTAAATATTAGAAAATTCCAGATAACTATCAACCAGTTGTATTGTTTTATAGAACAATCTATTAAAAGGAGACGCTCTCTGACTCTCCTGCCTGTTCACAGGACCCTTTTCCTCCTCCTGAGTTGCTCATCCAGTCTTGACATGAGGGTTTGTGCCTGGTCTTGTTGTGTCTGTGATGCCATGTTTGGCTGATGTCCCTGGGAAGCTTGCTCTATTTTGAAGGGAAATGAAGGAGCAGTGGGTCTGGGGATGGGGGGGGGTTGTCTGGGGTGGGGGCACTGAGAGGAAGGAAACTATGGGAAGCTGTGGTTGGGATGGGTATCAGGAGAGAAGGTCACTGAGATTTGCATGGACTCCAATTTTGCAGCATTTATTGAAGTTGGAGGCTATGAAAATTTTACAGAAAAGTACATGAACGCCATCCCTTCTGTCATCGAGGGGGACAACCTGACGATCAGCCCAAGCTGCTACACTCCTCGGCCAGACTCCTTCCACATCTTCCGAGACGCTGTCACTGGAGACATTCCATGGCCGGGAACTATATTTGGAATGGTTACTACGGGCATGTGGTACTGGTGCACAGACCAGGTAAGTGAGTAAGTGTGTGTGTGTGTGTGTGTGTGTGTGTGTGTGTGTGTGCTTGTGTGTATGTCTGCTTGTGTGTTTTGGGGTAGGGACTTTCGTCGCTTCGTCTCATCTCATACAAAAGCATCTAGGTTTTGGTTTCTATGCACAAACATCATTTAAAATAGATATTTCTATGAAAAACAGATACCTGGTGTCACACCCTATGTTGTATCTTGTCACGCAGAAGCAAACACAGCAGACTCCTTCAACTAAGTGTTTCATTATTGGTCAGATTCTTATGTACAGAAAGAGTGGTCTGTGAACCGTAAGCACAGACGTGACCTTAGATCTCACTAGAAATCAGTGATCTCAGACCCTACCCTATCTTTTATTCAGTTCAATTTTAGAAAGAAAGCAGGCTAGGAAAGCCAGTAAGCAGAAACCTCCATGGCCTCTGCTTCAGTTCCTGCTTCCACGTTCCTGTCCTGGGTTCCTGCCCTGGTTTCCCTCGGTGATGGATTTATATAAGCTACAAGTTAAAATAAAGCCTTTCTTCCCCAAGTTACTTTTGGTCATCATCTTTTATTATGGCAATAGGAAACCTGACAACAGAAATTGGTACCAGGTCATGTAGTCTCCCTATGATGGGTCTGGCTGTGCATTTTGGGGAGGACTGTGGTGGCATTTAAACTTTGGGCCAGAAAACACATTTAGTGCTCAGAGCTTGGTCTATTCTGTTGGATCTTGGAAGATAAGGATGTGGAGAGAAGGCAGACAATAGAGGCCTGCCTTCTGAAGTTCCAGAGAGAAGCTTGAGAGTCCTTTAATATTTGATATTTTGAATTTAGCATCATTGAGATGAAACCTTTGCTTTACTAGAACAATGGATGCTGGTCAGCTGGGGCTGAGGAATCAGCTATGATTAAGACGTGACCAGCACCACTGAGGTGAAGTCTTCTGCAAAATCTTCCCTTAGGGTCAACACACAGAAGCTGTGGCCCAAAGGCAATCAAAGGTGTACCTAGTGCTGGCAGCAAAACTTAGTGACATGTAATAGATTTCTAGGTGGTACAGGTTTTGAAGTCATAAAGGGGTTGTGGAGAGCTCCACACCTTTTGGTGAACATTTTGGTGAAGGTGCAGCCGTAGTTGCAGTAGAAGCCCCAGGATTGAAAGAATCATAAAAAGAAGTGGAGGTTTGGTATGATGTGGAAAGTCAGAGTCCCCCAAGAGTGGCCAGAGTAATGATACTGATGATGGTGCAGTTCAGTTGCAGTAGAGAATCCAGTATCATGAAGCTGCCAGGCTCACAAGATGACCACCAAGGATAGAAGCAGGAGTGGGGCAGAACCTGCTTGAACCTGGCAGTCAAGAGGCATATGCTTCCATCTTAGGAACTCTCAGGATTTCTATTTCCTGGGAGGAAACACCGAGACCACACAGCTATTTGGCGAGAAAAGTGTTTATGCAGTTTACACTTCCACATCATTGTTCCTCACCAAGGGAAATCAGGACAGGAACTTAAGCAGGACAGGAACCTGGAGGCAGGAACTGATGCAGAGGCCACAGAGAGTGCTTACTGGCTTGCTTCCCATGGCTATCTCAGCCTGCTTTCTTGTAGAATCCCAACCACTAGCCTAGGGATGGAACCACCCATAATGGGCTGGGCCCTCCCCCATTGATCACTAATTGAGAAAATGTCTTACAGCTTGATCTCATGGAGGCATTTCCTCAACTGAGCCTTGTTCCTCTCTGATGACTCTAGTTTGTGTCAAGTTGGCATAAACTCAGCTAGTACAGCTTCAGATGGCGGGTCCAGTGGAGAGCTGCTGCTAAAGCTATTTGGAGCCCAGAGGATGATGAATAGGCCCCAGGCATCAAGCGCTGAGCTTGTTATACCCTTGACTTAGTTTTGCTTTGGTCTGATTGTGATTCTTCCTGCTCAGATAAGAATTACATGCTTTTGATTTTTTTTTTTTTGGATACCAAGGTCAAAAGTCTTCAGAATTTTAGAGAGACTTTGAATATTTTAGAAACTTCATACTTTAAAAGAAACTTTGGGGAGGAGCTGGGAAGAGGGGAAACCATAATCAGAATACATTGTATGGGAAAAAAATAATTTTCAATTAAAAATTGAAGGAAAAAGGAGACTTAGAAAATTTTAAGATACCAAACTTTCTTCTTTTTTTAATTTGGAAACAATCATTTTACATATCTATTCCCCCATTCCCTCTCCCTCCCAGCCTCCTATACCCTCTACCACCCTCCCAACCCACTCCCCACCCAATCCCCAAGGACAGCTAGACCTTCCATGGGGGAAATCATCAAAGTCTGTCACCTCATTTGAGGGAGGGCCTAGGCCCTCCTCTGTGAAGATACCAAACTTTTAAAATGTTTGGAAATCTTAAATGCTGTGGGGTCTAGGGGATAAACAAGAAAGGAAAGGTTATAGATTAACAGTAACGCCTTAGTGTGTCAAGTTGAAAGGGAGTTATTTTGCTGCATAGTTTTGTGCCAACTTGATACAAGCTAGAGTGAACCTCAATTGAGAAAATGCCCCCACCAGACTGGCCTGTGAAAAAGCCTATGATGTATTGACTTGGTTGAGGATTGATGTGGGAAGTTCCAGTTCACTGTGCACAGTGCTGCCTCTGGGCTGATGGTCCTGGATGCTCTAAGAAAGAAGGATGAGCAAGCCACGAGGAGCAAGCCAGGAAGCAGCATTCCTTTGTGGCTTCTGCCCTACTTCTTGGCTCCAGGTTCCTGAGTTCCTTCCCTGGCTTCCTTCAGTGGTGTAAAATGAAATAAATAATTTCCTCTCCAAATTGCTTATGGTTGTGGTGTTTTACCACAATGGAAACTCTAACTAAAGACAACCAATCAGAAGAAAGCATCCCTGGTTTTGACAACATTTTTAGAAGGAAATACCAAAAAGTCATGGTTTTATGAGGAGCTTGGGATATACAGCAGTAGAGCATCTGCGTGGCATACCCACGACCCTGGGGGGAGAAAAGAGAGGTATACAAGATGCTATGGAAATGTTGTATAAATCTTGCTTTTCTACAGAACTCTTAAGAGATTTGCATAAATTCAGTAGGAATTTAAAATTATATGCATTCTTCTCTGAGGATCATCACGACTAAACATGATTCATAGCTAGGAGTTCTCAGAACATTCTGAAAATCATCTACATGAATGTCTGAGTGACCTACTCCCTGCCTGACTATTGTGTTCCCACAGCAACAGGTATGACTAGTCAAAGAGGCAATTACCACGTAACAGTAGGAAGATCCTGATGATGCCTGCATTATTCAATCCCAGCTTAAAACACAACATAGGTCAGGGTTACTACTGATCGGCACTGTTGCTGTTACAATGCAGCCTGGACACTCTATGCATTCTCATGAGTATAGGCAGTGCTTGTCACAGTACACCTGGAGAGGTCAGAGGGCAACCACAGGTGTCAGTCCTCACATTCCACCTGGGCCTCTTGGTCACTGCTTCATGCACCAGCCTATCTGGCCAGCAAGTTCGCAAGGATTTTCCCGTCTCTGTCCCCCGTTAGCCATAGAGCACTGGGATTGCAGACACGTGCCCTGGTTTGTGTGGGTCCTGTGGACCCAAACCTGAGTCCATGGGCTTTCACAGTTTTACCCACAGAGAGATCTCCCCTGGAGATTCTAAACATAAATAAACTATAGCCAACATGTATTGACTTCCGTATACCGAGAGTCTTTCATATATTGCCCGTATTCAGAATGTTATGAGAGGGGTAAGACAGAAAAATGAACCCCACAATACACAAATTAAATGGTGCTTCAAATCATAACGTTCTTCCAAAGCCCATTATTTGATGACCAACGCCATCATTTCTTATTGAAGTTTTAAACCCTGAAAGGCAGCTTGGACATCATTTTCTAGTTGTCTCCCTCACGGTATTGTGTCTTCCTGGCAGGTCATTGTGCAGCGCTGCATATGTGGTAAGAATATGTCCCACGTGAAGGCTGCCTGCATCGTGTGTGGGTACCTGAAGCTGCTGCCCATATTCTTCATGGTAATGCCAGGGATGATCAGCCGCATTCTGTACACAGGCAAGCCACGGGCACACTTACTCTCCATTTTATGCTTGATTCTTATAAGTGGTTTTTAAAAAATATTTTATTTATTTATTATAACACATTCTGCTTCCATGTATATCTGCACACCAGAAGAGGGCGCCAGATCTTATTACAGATGGTCGTGAGCCACCATGTGGTTGCTGGGAATTGAACTCAAGACCTCTGGAAGAGCAGTCGGTGCTCTTAACCTCTGAGCCATCTCTCCAGCCCCCTTTTAAGTGTTTTTAATTGCTTGCTTTATTTTCTGTGTATGAATGTTTTGCCTACATGCATGTCTGTATTGCATGCATGCCTGATGCACGGTTATAAGATAGCATCAAATCCTCTGGAACCCGAGTTATGGATGGTTGTGAGCTGCCATGGGGATTCTGGGAACCAAACCCAAGTCCTCTGCAAGAACAGCAACTGCTCTTGATTGCTGAACCACTATACTCCAACCCCAAGTATTTTTAAGATATAGAAAAACCTTAATAAAAAACAGGAAACCTGTTCTAGGTAGGAATAGAAGGAGAAATCAAGGATGAGAAACAGCTTGACCAGGGTGTTAGAGGTGGAAAATCAGGCATATTTGCCACTGTTTTTCTGTATACTCTGTGTCCTTTAAGACATTTGAAACAGTGAGTCTTTTTTTCAGAAGTTTAGAGAATACAGTGGAAGGGACACTGGGGTGTGGTGGGATTTGTATAGGATGAATTGGTGAGGTACTGGTGGTGAGTACCGGGAGGTAACAAGATGGACCTGTTTCATGGATCCCGGAAACAGGTGGATTTGAATAGCTTTCCTCTGCTATGGAAACAAGTGTTGGTGAAGAACTAATTTCTGAAAAGATGAGGGTAATTACACATTTGAATTTTTCTTTTTATTCTTTAATTGAAAATGGATTTTTCATACAATATACTTTGATTCTTTCTCCTCCGCTAACTCTCCCCAGTCCCTCCCCATTTCCTCTCAGATCTGAATCCATACCCTTTTCTGTCTCTTAGAAACAGGCATCTAAAGAATAAGATAAAATAAAAACAAAAAAAATTAGAATAGGACAAAACAAAGGAATGGAGAAGAGCAAAGTAAAAAGCACAAGAAATGACATGGAGACACAGAGACACACAAGATTGCACACACAGGAATTCCATAAAAAACAAAATAAATGGGGCTGGAGAGATGGCTTAGAGGTTAAGAGCACTGACTGCTCTTCCAGAGGTCCTGAGTTCAATTCCCAGCAACCACATGATGGCTCACAACCATCTGTAATGAGATCTGGTGCCCTCTTCTGGCCTGCACGCAAATATGCAGACAGAACACTACATACATAATAAATAAATAAATCTTTAAAAATAAATAAATGAATAAATGGAAGCCATAATATATATTCAAAGGACCTCTAAAGTAAAGTCAAAGGACCTTTCACATTCAGTGAAGAATTGTGCTGTTATTTTGATGGGGATTTCATTAAGCCTGTAGTTTGTTCTTGGCAGGATGGAAATTTTTTATTACATTAATCCTACCCATCCATGAGCATGGGAGATTTTTTTCCATCTTCTTATATCTTATTCACTTTCTTCCTTCAATGTCTTAAAGTTTTTATCATTCAAGTTGTTCACTTGCATGATTAGAATTAGCCCAACACATTTTATATATTTTGAATCTATCATGGATGGTTTTGTTTCCTTGATTTCTTTCTTAGTCCCTTGTCACTTGTGTATAGGAAGGCTACTGATTTTGTGAGTTAATTTTGTATCCAGCTACTTTGCTTAAGTGTTTAGCTGATATAGGAATTTCCTGATAACATTTTTAGGGTCACCTATACTATCATAAACCTGCAAATAAAGATATTTTGAATTGTTCCTTTGTAATTTATAGCCCTTGATCTCCTTCACATGCCTTATAGTTCTAGCTAAAACTTAGGAACTATCTTTAGTAGGTATGGAGAGCGCATACACTTGCCTTATTCCTGATAGTGGGAATGCTTTGAGTTTCTCTTTCTTTAAGATTATGTATATTGTGCTTGCCTGACCTTGCCTTGGTCACTAGGAGGTCAGATGCCTGCCTCGTGGCAAGGAACCAATCAGAAGTTAGCTGGTAGTGCTATGCTTTATGGCTCTGGGTCTGCTTTACCGACAAGTGCACAGCAATGATGTGCAGAGCATAGCAACCACCCTGGAAGGGCCTATGGGCCATAACAACCAGTTGACCAATCAACACAGGGCAAACCCTCCAAGCCTGGAGGCACACCAATCCTGAGCCTGAGCGTACCTCTAGACACTCCCCTTACGCTGCCCTATAAGATCTTTATGTCGGGGCTTCGCCGTGTCTTTTCTAGCCATCTACCATGATGGATGGATGAAAGACCCGAGCTAATATGGGGTTAGCTCATTAAACAACTACAATAAAGCCTCGTGCTTTTTGCATAAAAAAGATTATGTAGATTATGGGCTTGCTGTAAATTGCCATTATTATGTTGAGGTATGTCATTTATATCATTTTCTAGGAGAGTGGTTCTCTACCTGTGGGTCTTGTCCCCTTTTGGAGCCAAGTGACTCTCTCACAAGGGTTGCCCAAGACCATTAGAAAACACAGAAATTTACATTGCAATTCATAACAGTAGCAAAATTACAATTATGAAATAGCATAAAAATAATTCCATGCTTGGGGTCATCATGACAACATGAAGATCTTTATTAAAGGGTCTCAGCATCAGGAAAGTTGAGGACCACGGCTCTCAGGGTGTAAGATCTTGTCAAAAGCCTTTTCTGCATCTAATAAGATGATGATGTTTGAAGGTTTATATGGTGGGTTAATTTTTAAAATTTGTATGTGTTGAGCCATCTCTGGAACTCAGTCATGAAGTATACTTGATTATGGTGGATGATAATTTTGTGTTTTCTTGTATTTGGTTTGCAAATATTTTTACTGAGAATTTTTGCATCAACATGCATAATGGAAACTGGTCTGTAATTCTCTTTCTTTGTTAGGTCTTTATGTGGTTTGATTATCAGTGTAACTCTGGCCTCATAAAATGAATTGGGTAATGGTTCTTCTCTTTCTATTTTTGTAAACAATTTGAGGAGTGGGCTGGAGAGATGGCTCAGCCATTAAAGGCTAAGCTCACAACCAAAAATATAAGAATAATTTGAGGAGTATTTGTGTTAATTCTTCCTTGAAGCTGTGGTAGAATTCTGCACCGAAACCATCTGACCCTGAACCTTTTCTTCTGCCTGTGTGAGGCTTAATGACGGCTTTTATTGCACTAGGAGTTATATGTCTGTTTAAATTGTTTGTCTGATCTTGATTTAACTTTGGTAGTTTCTGTATATTAGGGAATTGTTTTTAAAGTATGTCCTTATGATTTGTTCTCTGGATTTCCTCAGTGTCTGTTGTTGCAGCCCCCTTTCATCTCTGAATTTGTTATTTTGTATCTTCTCTCTCTGCCTTTTGTTGTTTTCACGTCTGTGGCACAGTTGCTATACCTCAGCTGCCAACTGTGCCTCCATGGTCATGTATAGTAAGAAATTACCAAAACGGAGTCAGGTAGAAATATAAGGGTATTTAATAGGGAAAAGCCTTACTTACAGAGCGAACCAGCCAGCCGGTGGTAGTCTGTACTTAGGGGCTGGCTACAGTCATGGTCTGGATCTTTGACATAAAAATTCAAAAATGAATCTCTATTTCTAGGCAAGTGACTTGTCTTCCACCTATGAGCTTACCTCTTTGTCCAATGGTTACAAACTATGCTTACTTAGGTCCAGCTCACTGAACTCACCTCTCAATATCTCCCCAGATATGGTGGCCTGTGTTGTACCTTCAGAGTGTGTAAAACAGTGTGGTGTTGACATCGGTTGCACTAACTATGCCTACCCAACAATGGTACTGAAACTGATGCCCATGGGTAAGTAAAAACCGGCCTCACACAGCCTCAGATGCTTGGTCTGTAGATGAGCATAGAAAGGGTTGTGGTATAACCCTCAGCAACCAGTACTTTACTTCCATCAATTCTGCTCTGTTTGTAGACATTTCTTGGGTACCTTTTACATGTTGCCAGCCATAATGTTGAGCCTAGACATTCCAGAGATAGACCAGATGCTTTCTGTTAAGAGAATCTTGACACTTAAGGCTCAAGACTCTGAAGAGAATTAAGAATATTTTAATTTTCTTTTTGCTAATAAATAGCATTGTTTAACGACAAACCCATCTATCCAGAGGAGTCAAGGTTAATTATGGGCCAGTGACACTCAGACATTAGATCTCAGTCTATTCAATTTATAATCACTTATTGAGTGTATTATGTCCCAGACACTATCTTGGGTGTCCTTAAACATTGGTGAAGTTGCAAAAATAAGTTTCCTTACCATTTAGAATTCACACTTCAGTTTCCTGGGATATAAAATAAGCTGCGCATGTGAAGAAGGTAAAGTATTTAGATGCTGGAAGGTGACTCTGGGGAATTGAAACAGAGCAAGGTAGAGAACTCAGGTGTGACCAGTTGAAAACTTGGGTTAACACTTCCATGGCCCTTTCTCCATCCTGATACACAAATTTTCAGGATGAAGGGAACACAGCCCACAGATCTGACACCACCTTCCACCATCCTCTGTTCTAGCAGATGTGGGGCCAGGGGAACTAGGGAATCAGGTTCCTATAATGATTCCAAATTCTTGGCTTTTTCTCTTCAGAAACAGCAGAACCATTAACTAGATTTTTCCACTAAACATCTGTGTGGTCAAGAGATCACCATAAAGAAAAATGGACTGACACAGTTTATTCTATTCTAAAACTATGTTTCAGTAGATGGCATCTGAGTTTGTGCTGAGGACTCCATTGCCCACTGTGTGATATTGAGATCTCCAGGAATTATGCAGGAAGTGCCATATGCATTTTGATATCTGCTCTAATAGTCAATGTTCCAGACACATCTATTATCTTGAAGTAACACCCTATCTTTAGCTTTGCCCTCATAGAAATGACCTGTGTAACAATAACTCTTTCTGCCAGCCACCCGAGCTCTGCTGCTATGTGGGTACCCAAAATAACACACAGCAATTAATATTAGCTACAATACTGCTGGCCAATGACTAGGATTTCTTATATGCTAGTTCAGTCTTAATTATCAACCATAACTATCAATCTATATATTTTATAAAGACTTATCTTGTTGAGGATGCTGACGGCATGCATCCTCTCTTGCTGGTGATCACATGGCGACCCCACAGAGAAGAGAGAAGAGCGATTTCCTGCTTATCCCTGCTTATCCCTGCTTATATATTCTGAGTCTGCCTGCTATGTCACTTCCTGTCTGGATCACAAGACTTCTCTTTACTACATTTCCCAGAATCCTCCTCAACTCCTAGTCCAAGTATTTGGCTTCCCTATTGGCCAACAGTGCTTTATTCAACAACCAATAAGATAAACATTCACAAAAGGACTTCCCCCATCAGCCACGCAGCCACTAACTAGAACTTGTACCCTCTTCTGATCCCAGGACTTCGAGGCCTGATGCTGTCTGTCATGGTGGCCTCCCTCATAAGCTCCCTGACCTCCATCTTCAACAGTGCCAGCACCCTCTTCACCATGGACCTCTACACCAAGATACGGAAGAAGGCATCTGAGAGAGAGCTCCTGATAGCTGGACGGTGAGGGAACCTGGTCTCTTCCTAGAAGTCCTCTCAGGAAGGGAAGACATAGAGATGAACAAGAGTTTGCATGACCTTGGCTGTAGTGAAAATAATCATCTTTCTACAGTGGGAGAAGGCACACCAGGGACAATTTAGTTTCACCCATCTCTTTACATATCCCAAAACTGAGGCCAATTAGATGAGACATTCGCTTTTTCCTATTTTAAGTGATTTTATCTTTGTTTTAACTTTTCCTCTCACAACCCCCTCCAATCACGTCTTCACAAATTACCACCCACTCTTGGAGCTTCATCTTTAGACTCATGCAAGTGTATCACATACCAGGGATCATGAATCAAGTTACTACCACATAATGAGATTATCAACTTCACATTCATTAAAGATTAGATATTAGAAAGGGACAGACTTGGGTAAGGGACTAGCTCAAGAATTTTTTAAAGGGTTGTGTCAACCAATCAATCCTTAAGTAGTCTGGGAGTCTAGAAGACAAAGGGAGCAAAAACAACCAATCAGGGAGTGTAGATAAGAAAGACTCCATTTTCCTCTTCGTTACTACCAAGTAGACCCATCACTGTCAGCACTTTGAAAATGACTTAAAGATTCAACTATGGCATACAAACAGAGGACACAGAGAGCGTAATTATACGGTTTAATGATGTATCTCAAAGGGAACACACATGTAGCTACTGCAACCTTAGTATTAATTACTAATATTAGTAACACAATATAATAACAACAATAACATACAATAATAATTAAGATAATGTAAAACTCCCCTCAGTTCCTTTCTTTCAAAAGTTAACCACTAGAACTTCTAATGCTATTGAGTCTTCCTGCTTATCATAAATACACTAAATAGGCATACATCTCAAGATATAAGGCTTCTTTGGCTCATCTTATTTTTGTGACATTGTGCCATGTGTCCATGTACAATCTGTTTCAGTTCCTTGCTCTATGGTATCCCATTAATTAACACCGCAGCATTTATCTGCTCTATTGTTCATGGTCATGTTGCTTTAGTTTAACTTTCTCAGTGATTGTGACTTTTTATGACTTAGGAAAAAAAACAGATTGGTAAAATAACAGGTCAGTCATTTTCCTTTTATACTTACCGAAATTGAATAGTACACTTAGGGTATTTTTTCAATAATGAAAACAAGTTATCATTTACCTCTTCAAGTTCATTTCTGGACTTCTCAGCTAGTTAGAAGAGAACCTGGAATTCTTTCTGTTCTTCCCCATTGTGTGGAATCTGTGTGTTCCTCGTGGCTTTCTCATTGTGGTTTGGGACTACAAACACACTCAAGAGTACTGAGAAGAGCAGTGCCTATAAAGACCAGTCTTGGAAGGGCACTGCCTGTTTTCTTGTGAAGCTGGTATCAGAGAAACTCACCACCTATTTACATATTCTTCTTTGCTTTTGACAGTACCAATAGCTTTACTAAATTAAACACTTGGAGATGGACACCTGAAGGACCTCACTTGGCCCAGATCTTGACTGGATAAAGGCTGTAGGAGAAGAGAATGGAGTGGCATGATGTTATTTCTTTTTTTCTTTGTTTTTCTGGGATGGCATTCAAGATACAGTGATCACACTAGCAAATATGTCATCTTGGACACAAATCCCTTTTAGGTCTTAACGACAAAGTAATATTTGTTTCATCTTATCAAATATCAATCTCCCAAAATACAAATATGGAAAAACACACATTACAAAATACTTCCTTCATGTAAGCAAGCCATGTGTCTGTAAAGAGGTAGATAAACACAGCTATGGCTGGGGAAATCTTAGTGGTATCATAATTTATGAAGAAAATCTGTTTTCAAGAAAAGAAAATTAGGGGACAATGAAATCTTAGTCAGAACATAATTTATGAAGAAAATCTGTTTTCAAGAAAAGAAAATTAGGGGACAAAGAGGGATAAAAGTAAGTCAGAATGAAAATGGCTGTGACCTAATGAAAAATGCCAGAAAATCTAACTGTGGTGGTGGCACTTGAGAAAAGTCTTGAAGTGGGGGCAGAGGACTCCACTGCCCTGTAGGACACGTGTGTGGTAGTTTTGTAACAAGGAATAAGGCTTTCCCCAGAGAGCAAGCGAGAAAACAAAAATCACATGGCTTACCAAGGTATCCAGAAGCCAGGTCGTGCTGGACCACTTGAGCCTGTGACAGAAAGCAATCAAAGTGGGCCGGGAAGCATCTGGTTTTCATTCCAGTGGGGACAACAACGACAGTAATGGTGTGCTTTACTGAACCTTTACCATTTTCAGGGCTTTGTGGTAGTCACATTTAAGTTTTGCTGCAAGGGGGCAAAGATTTTGCAAAGTTTAAGTGGACATTTGATGTCTTTTTCTTCTGCCCAAATACTTGTTCTTCCATGGATCCACCACCATGCCCACATATCAGACAAATATGGAGATGATGAGTTCCCATGCAGAATCCTGTCCATTGACTCAAACACAAACACAAAGCATAGAATCCCTTGGGTGTAGAAAATCATATAGCTCATGTTTATGGAACCCAGGATCTTCTAGTCAACATTTAACCAATCCATTCTGTCAGGAAAACACAAGAACTAGTATTTCTTCACACTTCATCTAGTATTCTGGGGAAGATGGAGGCGGCTTTAATCTTTACTTATGGAAACTCATTCAGTTTTCTCTAGTTAAGAAAAGGACAGAAATTGGATTCTACTTTATTACACAAGTAACCACCAATTCACAAAACTAATACAGTATTAATTTCTGAGATATATTCATTGAATTAAAGTGATTAAACAACAGCTGGCATCTGTCTTATTAGGAAGCATTAATCTTAGATGAAGCTTTTATGACAGGTATAGATAAATGTTGTTGACATTGAATTAACTGATGGTTAGCACAGCGTGGGTTCATATCCACTCAAGAAACTTAATTTTGTTTTGAAAATGAAGAGTAGCATGAGAATAAATTTTAAAAACTCAACAAATATGCCTGTGGTGCTGTTGTTTAACGTCTGAATTAATTTTATAGGCTGTTTGTCAGTGTGTTAATTGTCACCAGCATCTTGTGGGTCCCGATAGTACAAGTATCTCAAGGTGGACAGCTGATCCATTATACAGAATCAATTTCTAGCTACCTTGGGCCTCCCATTGCAGCTGTCTTCCTGCTTGGCATCTTCTGTAAAAGAGTCAATGAGCAAGTAAGTGAAAAACAGGGAGGATTTTCCCTGCGGGTGTAAGAAAATTTGTCTCTCACTGTTATCCCAGGATGTGTTCTTGCTATTCCATGTGTACTCACAAGGCCAGTCTCAATTTCTATCATAGTTACCATAATGTCTGATCCTTTGAAAGTGTGATTTGACACTTGTCTTTACATGGTTTATAAGTGCACAGTGCAGTGCTGGGGAACATTTTAGGAGATGGACTGTCAGTGTCCCATCAGGACACTAATATACTGATCTGAAGCAAATAGTTCCACTCTGTCCAATGAAAATGATAACAGTGCCTACTTTATAGACATTTCTATGAGGATCAAATGGGATAGTATAGTAAATACTTCTTTAAAAAGCTAGTACAAAATTAAAATATGTTCATTGTTGTTGTGGTATGAATAGTTGATCTTTTACTTTTATGTCTAGCCCCTTATGTTTTTCTAGTTATTTACTATATTATATGGTTTTTTTTTAGGCACTTAGTTTCTAGTGCTTTCTTGGCTCTTCAAATTGTGTGGCATGGATATTGTGATTCTATTTGTTCTACAAGATAAAGCATAAGCTTTTATTCCCCATATAAAAGACATATCAGAAAAAAATTTCATTTTGGGTCAGTGTTGACAGTAGAGTCCTGTGGTTGGACAGTCAACAGTGTGATGGCATTTCAAGACCACAGAGGACAACTTCCTGATAGCTTGTGTTTGCAATCTTCCCAGTTTGTTGGGCATTACTCAAGAGTACAGTTGTAATTAATTATGACTTACCTGAATGAGCAGCTCATATTTCTTAAACTCTCTTGGTTGTGTTCCTGTTCTGTTATTAACAGGGAGCATTCTGGGGTCTGATGGTTGGACTCGTGATGGGCCTTATCCGTATGATTGCAGAGTTTTCTTATGGGACCGGGAGTTGCCTGGCTGCCAGTAACTGTCCCAAGATCATCTGTGGAGTGCATTACCTATATTATGCCATCATTCTCTTTTCCGTGTCTGCGTTGGTTATCCTGGGAGTTTCGTTCTTAACAAAACCCATTCCTGATGTACACGTGAGTGATACACAAACTAGTAGTCCTTTGCTTTCAAACTTTGAATAATGACATTGTTGAACTATTGGATTTAGGAGGAACATAAGAGATAGTCAATCAGTTATTCAACTGAACAATATGTTAGAGTGTGTGTGAAGCAATGGCATATTGCCAAGAGGCTAAGAAATGGTCACACAGTTTTTTTTAGCACCAGTGAGATGTTTCCACAGGTAAAGGGGCTTGCTGAACAAGCCAAGCAACAACCTGAGTTCAGTCCCTGGACCCCACATAAAGGTAGATGGAGGGCACTGACTCCACAAAATCATCCTCCAACAGACATTCATACCTGAGAATGCACCCACAAGCACACATCACACACAAATAATAAAGCAACAGTGAGCATACTATTTCAAAAGCTTTGAGGTACAGTTGGAGAGTATATCTATGTCATTGCTGTAGATACTGTGAAGGAACTAATCACTATTGTCCAATAGACTGATCATAATCTTATAAGAGACCAGGCAATCTGGACCAGGACTCTCAAGGATGTAGGTTTTTTTTTTTTTTTCTTTGCTCTTTGGGGGCCCACCACCCAGCTCCCAAATGAATACATGGAGACTTATTCTAATTAATGAATGCCCAGCCTTAGCTTGGCTTGTTTCTAGACAGGTTTTCTTAACTTAAATTATCCCATCTACCTTTTGCCCCTAGGCTTTTACATTTCTCTATTCTATAACCCTTGCTTTCCTTCTTACTCTGTGGCTGGCCGTGTAGCTGGCTGGCTGGCCTCTGAAGTATTCTTCTCCTTCTCCTTTTCTTGCTCCTCTCTTCTCTGCATTTATCCTGTTTATTCTCTCTGCCTGCCAGCTCCATCTACTACTTTCTCTTTCTTAGCTATTGGCCATTCAGCTCTTTATTAGGCCAATCAGGTGTTTTAGACAGGCAAAGTGTCACAGCTGCATAGCGTAAACAAATGTAACATAAAAAATGCAACACATCTGTGCACCATTAAATGAATATTCCGTGCCATAAATGCATATAGTACATCTTAAATTAATACTCCATAATATTTCCCCCTTTTGTCTAAATAAAAATTAAAGGTTTTATTTTTAACATAGTAAAACTATATACAACAAAACAGTTATCAAGTAAGAATTATGTTTACAATATTCAGACCATTCGTATTTCGTGAATTCAGAGAAAATACTTCATTATCTATCTCATCTTAGTGATTCCAAAGTTGTTGGGTTTTTTGTTTTTTTTGTTTTTTTTGTTTTTTTTTGTTTTTACCTTACTTTCTAACATGACCAATTGCCCATATACTCACTGGAGCATGGTCAAATTCCCAGAAGCCAGCCACTTAATGAAAGCAGAGTCTTTCCCTATACCCACTCCCTCCAGAAGCCAACAACTGTGAAGAACCGTACTTCAGCATCTTTATCACAATTTTTAAAAAAGATTTATTTATTTATTTACTATGTGTACAGTATTCTGTCTGCATATATCCTTGCAGGTCAGAAGAGGGCACCAGATCTCATTATGGATGGTTGTGAGCCACCATGTGGTTGCTGGGAATTGAACTCAGGACCTCTGGAAGAACAGCCAGTGCTCTTAACCGTTGAGCCATCTCTCCAGTCCCGATTGTGAAATTACTTAATCAATCACACGTCACCAGAATATGTAACTAAATATTTGCACTGAATATTGGCTATTGACTGAATGAGCACCAGGAAACATGCCATCATTTCCAAACCAATAAACATAATGCTGAATTTCTTTCTGCTAAAATAAATAATTATAATTTATTATTGATTTTTAAATGAAATTTTTGTCTAGCGCTCCAATGAGAATATTTCATTTATGTTTTGTTTTATGCATATGCCTCAAAAGTTGACCTTTGAAAGCAGGCACAGGTGCATGAGTGTCAACAGGTATTTCATAGGTGGTGAAGTGTTGTGAACCTCACCTAGTGAAGCAATAAAGAGATACCCTGGGACAGAAGATGAGGCAAGTATTCGATAGCCCAAATTAGAGGAGGATTCTAGACATCTCAAGAGGATAGCTTTAATTAAAGGAGGGCGTGATAATGCCTTAATCCTAGCATTTGGGAGGAAGGGACAGATGGGTCTCTGTGAGTTCAAGACCAGCCTGGTCTACATAGTGAATTCCCAAAAAACTAGAGCAACACAGGGAAACTCTATCTCAAAAAAAAAAAAAAAAATGAAAAGGGTGGATTAGTATACAAAAGATGGCTCAAGCTTCCGTAAGTCACTCTAGTACTGAAAGCATGTGGCTACAAGTAAGAAGCCATTAGCAAATTTCAGTAGAGCTGTGTCAAATTCCTGGAAAAACTGAAGCTAAGTTTGACTTTGAGAATATGATGGGTTGTAAACCTATCAACATTTGGACCAGTTTCCTCAAAATAACTTTGGTACGTGTCTCAATTAAACATTGTATTAAATCACACTTCTTGCATATATGGTAAAAACAAACTTACATGATAACACATTCCATGTATTTTCAAAAGTTTTAATCAATACACAAAGCAAGAGAACCTTGATGATATAATGGACAAATGATAGTCAAAATTTCATAAAACTTAAATGTTTAAAATAACAACAGTTGAGTCAGGATGGGAGAGGGATGTGTGATCATTTAAAATGCAAGAATTGAACATGGATAGCTGTCTAAATACAGTAGATACAGAAACAGAACTTACCATATGTCAAGCTACAGTAACAATCCGTAGTCATCACAGAACAGGAAGGGGAACAAGGAGGGAGGAAGGTCGGATGACAGTTTTCAACATATACTGTGTCAGAGAAATAAGCTCTGGCATTCTACAGAACAGTGAGGTAATGATACTTCACAGCAATTTGTTATGTCATTTAAGGAAACAGAGGACAGGGGTTTGAAGGCTTTCAACACACTCACAAAAGTAAATGTTTAAGGAAATGGAACTGATAATTCCCTTGATTCAATAATTGCATTTTGCATATATTATCAAATTAGTGCTCCGTAAATGTGCATAACTATTGTGTGTTTAGTAAAACCTTTAATCTAGGAATGATGGTGCACCAGCACCTGGGAGGCAGAGGCAGGAAGAGCAGAGGTTCAAGGATATCCTCAGCTACATAGCAAGTACAAGGTCAGCCTGGGCTTCATGAGAACCCACCTAACAACAACAACAACAACAACAACAACAACAAAAAACTAAATGCCAAAAGCAATCTGGAGACAGACTGAAAGTAACAATGAAGTTACTATTAAGAATTAGGCAATGAGAACAATGAAATTATGTATAATAAGGACAGTTAAATAAGGACAATTAAGTTACTATTGAAAGAAGGACAATGAGATAACAATGAAGTTATTATTAACAGTTAATAAGGACAATGGAATAGCAATGAAGTTACTATTGACAGACAATAAAGACAATGAAATAACACTGAAATTACTAATAACAGTAGACAATAAGGACAATGAGTGAAGCTAAGGTGTAATTTAGGCTAGGTTAATCTCCCACTTTTCTGAAAGTAGAAAGCCCAAAGTAAGTTTTAGAAATTTCAAATTTGTAAGTGTTTCCCAAAGAATAAACAGAAATGATTTTAAATGGTTCGTGTGTTTTGGGGAGTGTGATATGACATAAGGACCATACATTACAATCTATAATACCCTTGTGTGCACTCTGACTTTTTTAATTATACAAAAATGAGAGTATTGTTCAGTGTTTGCAAACATGGGCCTTTTGCTAACGCTCCCTCTGGTCTCCCCTCAGCTGTATCGCCTGTGCTGGACTCTTCGGAACAGTGAGGAGGAAAGAATTGATTTGGATGCAGAAGAAAAAAGGGACGAAGGAGCTGATGATGGCACTGAAGACGGTAATGTGTCACTTACTGTTTGTCATAGTGTGACTTACTGGGGATTTTGATATATACTTTTAATTAGAATATAAGTACATCACGTCCCCTTCCCTTTTCTCCCTCTTGCCCCTCCCAATCCCTCTCCCTCCAACTCCTCCCATCAATTATAGTCTCTTTTCCTTTAATTAATATTGTTACATATATATATATATGTGTGTGTGTGTGTGTGTGTGTGTGTGCCCAATACATAAATACAGCCTGCCGAGTCTGTTTCTATTGTGTGTATATGGTTTCAGGGCCGACAGCTGTGTGTTACATAACTAGTTAGTGGCTCATCCCTAGGATAGGTTAATTCTCCCATTCTTGGCAGTCATTAGTTGCCTGTAGTTTTTGCCTAGGAGTAGAATGAGATTTTTATGTTCCTTACATGTTAATAAGTCTATTAATATTGTCATCCTTCTTGTCTTGTTTATACAGCCTGTGCTGGCTAGTTTTATGGCAACTTGATACAAACTAGTTATCTGAAAGGAAGGAATCTCAATTGAGAAAATGCTTCCATAATATCCATCTGTAAGGCATTTTCTTAATTAGTGACTGATTGGGGAAGGCCCAGCCCATGGCAGGTGGTGCCATCCCTGGGCTGGTGTTCTGGGTTCTATAAGAAAGCAGGCCAAGCAAGCCATATGGAGCAAGCCAGTAAACAGCACCCCTCCGTGGCCTCTGCATCAGCTCCTGCCTCCAAGTTCCTGCCATGCTTGGGTTTCTGTCCTGACTTCCTTCAGTGATGACTGTTACCTGGAAGTATAATGAAATATGAACCCTTTCCTCCCCAACTTGCTTTGGGTCATGGCGTTTCATCACAGCAGTAGAAACCTTAACCAAGACACAGCCATTTCTAAGAAAGAATGTTTCACAGCAGATTTTCTGGTGTTCTGGCTCTTAATATCTCTGTGACCCCTCTTATGAGCTGTTCCCTGAGCCTTAGTTGCAGGAACTGTGATGTAAGTGCATCCCCTGGAGCTTGGCTTGACCTCTGCATTGCGCCGGGTTGTTTTTCTGTAATGATGTCACGTACTGTGGAGATAAGCTTCTTTGATGATGGATGACACCTACACTTAACCTGGTTTCTGCAGTTACCCAATTCTAGAGAAGTTGTTGTTTGTAAAACAAACAAAAACATCCAGATCTCACTTGATAGACATGGAGCACATCCATGCACTCACCTGTAAGTGCGTCTCTCTGTCCATCCATGGTACTTACTCAGGCCAGGTGCTGAGACGACCTTCAGTTACATGTAAACATCTCCATCTTTGTATCTTAAGATTAAGTATCTAGCCTCAACCTCGTTTCTTAGTATTCTCTCCAGTACACCCATAGCAGGAGGGATGCCTCAGCTTCCTTCACACACACCACAATCCTAGGATATCGTCACAAAGATATTTTCACAAATGCATTATTGGAATTTTTGCCACCAATTTTTGACAGCTGGCATTATAATATAGTTTTATTTTTTTTAAATGAGCTTAAGACATTTTTTCTTCTTTTGTTTGTCAATTCTGTAGTATGTTTAAATGGACCTCTAAATGGCTTATCCTTTTTTTTTTCCAGACATCTCTACAGCTTTGACCAGATGTTCTCCCCATCTTTGATGATACTTTATTTTTCTTTCTTTGTTCCAGACCAAACTGAGAAACCCCGTGGATGTCTCAAGAAGACTTATGACTTATTCTGCGGTTTGCAAAAAACAGGACCCAAGCTGACTAAAGAAGAGGAAGAGGTCCTGAAGAAGAAACTCACAGACACATCAGAGGAGCCCTTCTGGAGGAATGTCGTGAACACCAATGTCATTGTCCTCCTGGCTGTGGCAGTTTTTTTCTACGGCTATTTTGGCTGAACTCTATCTCATCCACAAAAATATTGGCTAAGCAAAAAAAAAGAAAAAAAAATCATAGTGTGCATTTTTGTTTTATGGTTTCTTATCTTGCAAAGGGGCATTAGCAATTTGGTAATTCTATCTAATAAGTTATGTCAGACTTGATGTTTTTATCATCCCTCCATGTAAATAAAATAGTTTAAAATTTACAAAACTACTAAAGTGACTTCATGTAAGTATGTGAAGCAGGCAAAGAGCCCCAAATCCTTTTTTCACTTTTATGAAGTATCATTATCAACACAGATTTTATAGATTTAAGAACTATAATGTGATGATTTCATATATACCCTGTGAAAACATCACCAGAACCAAGTCAACTGGCACATCCTTAACCTAACAAGTTGCTCTTTTGTATTATACATAGAGAGCACACTTATCTGCTCTCAGAAAATACATCATTATCCATAGGCACAATGCTGTGTATTATTAGACCTCCATAAGATAATCATCTTACAGCCAGACATTTGCAACCTGTAACCATCATCTCTCATTTTTATTCCATCTCTGAGCTCATGGAGAACATCACTGCTTTAGTATATTTTGTGTTGCGGTAACAAATGTCTTGCAGACATTCTGAGTTTGGTTTCCAGCTCCTACATAAGGTTGTGCACAACTCCGTGTCCAGGGGATATCACACACACACACACACACACACACACACACACACACACACTCGTGCGCGCACACTCACGCATAAACTCACACAGTCGCATACACATAAAATATATCTTTAATGCATGCATACATATGGTGATTTGATGGGGGATATCCTTCTGTGTATATGTTCCTCTTATTGGTTGATGAATAAAACAGCTTGACCTACAGAGGCAGGAAGATAGGTGGACTCGGAGACAAGGAGAATTCTGGGAAAGGTAGGCAGAGAAGCACCTCGAGAGAGACGCCATGTAGCTGCCAAAGGAGTAACAGGTCTGGGCATTCTCCAGTAAGCCAACACCATGTGGAAATACATAGATTAATATGTATTTGTGAATAATTAAGACAGAGCTAGCCAGTAAAAAGCCTTAGCTATCAGCCATCAACAGTTTAATAATAAATATAAGTCTTTGTGTGCTTATTTGGGGCAAAGCAGCCACAGGGCCAGGCTGGAAGAAAACTCCAGCAATAGTGAAACTTATGTATATGTATATAAACATGTATGCAACATGCAAACAGGTTGTTTTGAGCAACAACAAAAAATTGTAGTTGAAGATAAAAGCACAAAAGCCTTTTGAATGGGTTGTCTAGTTCCTTGAGCAGAAGAAGAAAATGTGCAGAAAAGGTATTGTGTAACACATTAAGAACTGGGGATGATTCTACATAGAAATAGAAACAGATTTACAGTATAAGGTCAATAACAACAAATTTGTAACAATATACAAAAATATCTTAAATGGAAGTAGAAACATATATATAGTATGATTAAAAATAACCTTAAACTTGTATCAATATACAAGAATATCTTAAGCAGAAGTAGAAACGTATATACAGTATAACAAAAGTAAGTTTAAATTTGTATCAATATACAGAAGTCCATACCAATGTAAATTGTTTAAAACTAGTAGCTGCTTTTTTCTTAGTTTGAAAGTAGATTAAATAATCTACCTTTTTATCTTATCATATCTATCCTCCCTTGTTAAGGGTTACCTCGTACGCTCAAAGATGAACTGTAGTCCGTGATGGTAAGACTTCTTTATTCAGGTAAATACCAGAGCAAAATGCAAGCCAGAGCGAGCTCACAGGAAGCAAGCTAGCATGGCCAGAGAGAAGGGGCCAGGGTCTCCACATGCAGCCCTTAAGAACCTTCCCTTATGTCACCCCAACTTCCCTTCACCCTGCCCTCATGGGCGAGTCCCAGGTCCACCTGGCACCTGTCTGGGTTGCCTGGGGTGGGGCTAGGGTGTCTCCCTACAATTCCCCTTTTAGTCTAAAAGAGGATTAAAACTTAATAGTGTAAAACGTCTAAAATTAGC